TCCCTGGGACAAGTTGTTTTCAAAGCCCCCAAAATGGAATAAGTGAGAGGAAAAGAAAAAAAAAAAAAAGAAAAAAAAGAAGAAAAACCACAACAAAACAGAATAAATAATTTTTAACACCCCCCCTAAAAAGGTAAGTGGTTTTAAAAGCCCCAAAAGAATGGGGTAAGTGGGTTAAAAAGCCCCCAAAAAAGGGTTGAGTGGATTTTAAAGCCCCTAAAAACGGGATGGGCAGTTTTAAAGACAAAAAAAAAAAAAAATACCAGGACAAGAGGGTGTAAAAGCAAAAAAAAACACCCCAGGATAAGGAATTTTATAAGCCCAGAAAGTGGGGTAAGTGGTTTTAAGAGCCCCTAAATAAGTAGGTGTAAAAGTTCCAAAAAATGGGAAAAGGTGGTTTTAAAATTAAAAAAAGAAAAAACAACAACCAAACAAAAACAAACAAAAAACAAACAGAAACACCCTGGGCTAAGTCATTTTAAAAACCAAAAAGAACTGGGATGAGTGGTTTTGAAAGCCAAAAAAAACCCCACCAAGATGCCATTTTAAAAGCAAAAAAAATAGAATAGGTGGTTTCAATGCCCTTCAAAAATGGCATGAGCAGCTTTAAAACCCCAAGAAATGGGAGAAGTGCTTTTAAAAGTTCAAAAATATCCTGGCATAAGTTGTTTTAAAAGCAAAAAAAAATTAAAAGGGGTGGGTGGTTTTTAAAGCAAAAAGAAGTCCCAGACATTTTTAAAGACCCAAAAATTGGGATACAAGCCAAAAAACACTGCCCCCTCCAACAAACAAAACCAAACAAAACCAAAAAATTGGTTAAGTGGTTTGAAAAGTTCCAAAAATGGAAGAAATTCTTTTAAAAACCTAAAAAAACCCCACCCCAGGATAAGCCCCTTTGACACCCCCCTGCAAAAAAAAGGGATAATTGGTTTAAAAAGCAAAAAAAACCCACTCCAGATAAGTTATTTTAAAAACATTCAAACTGGAGATAAGTGGTTTTAAAAGCCAAAATAAACCCTCAGGATTTATAATTTTAAGATCCCCAAAAGAATGGGTTAAGTGAATATAAAGGCCCCCAAAAATGTTCCAAAAAACGGGAAAAGGTGGTTTTAAAATTAAAACAAAACAAAACAAAACACAACACCCAGGGCTAAGTCATTTTAAAAGCCAAAAAGAACTGGGATGAGTGGTTTTAAAAGCCCAAAAAAACCCCACCGAGATGTCATTTTAAAAGCCAAAAAAATGGTTTCAATGCTCTTCAAAAATGGCATGAGCAGCTTTAAAACCCCAAGAAATGGGAGAAGTGCTTTCAAAAGTTCCAAAAACCAGGTTAAGTGCTTTTTAAAACAAACAAAAAAATGGAACAAGTGGTTTTAAGAGTCTCCAAGAGTAGGGATAAGTGTATTTAAAGTTAAAAAAAAAAAAACGACCAGGAAAAGAAATTTTTAAACCCCTGAAAAAAAGAGGAAGTAGTTTTAAAAGTTCCGAAAGAATGGGATAAGAGTCTTAAAAGGCAAAAAAAAACACCACAAACAACACCCCAGGGTAAGTAATTTCAAAAGCCAAAAAAGAAATGGGAGTAAGTGGTTTTAAAATGCCCTCAAAACTGTTTTAAAAAGTCAAAAAACCTGCCAGGATAAGTCACTTTAAAAGTCACAACAGAATGGGTCAAATGGTCTTAAAAAACTGGTTAAGTGGATTCTAAAGTCCCCCCAAAAACGGGCCAAGAACTTTTAAGAGCCCCCAGAAATGGGAGGAGGAGTTTTAAAGATCATTAAAAGGGCAGGACAGGTGGTTTTAAAAGCAAAAAAAACAAACAAACAACAGGGATAAGTCATTTAAAAAACCCCGAAAAGAGGTTTCAGGAGCCACAGAACGGGGTGAGTGTGCTCAGAAGTTCCCAACGCTGTTTTCCCGGGGCGCTCCCAGCCTGCAGCAGCTTTATCCCGGTTTCCAGCATGGAAAAGCTCCGGATGAGCCCCCTCAGAACCCCCAGGGCTGGGGGACCACGTGGCCTCCGCAGGTGCATCCCGAGGTTTGTGGCCCCACCACGGCTCGGGGTCCCCTCTAGGATTCCATCAGGTCCCTGGGCCCTTCCAGGGGCTCCCAGGAATGGGATCACCCCCTCAGTGCCCGGGGGGCTGCTTTGAAAACAAATTCCTTTCGCTGATTCAGCTCCTCCTGGAGTTCTGGGTCACCACAGGAGCTGCTTCTCCAGGCCCAGGACGGTGTTCCAGGGACACAGGGAACGTTTCCAGCCATCCCGGGGTTGTTTCCACCCTCACAAGCTCTTGGCTCTTGCCAGGGGGTTGGGGGACAGGGGGACAGTAAATCTTCCAGGTCTTCCTGGGTTTCTGTTTCACCCAGACAGGTTTTAACCCTGGAATGTGGAACATTTCCCATCCATGGATACCCCTGTGCCGTGGGGTCCGTGGATCCATCTCCTCAGGATGTCCTGAGGTGTCACGAGCCCACGGAGTCAGGAATAATTGCCCTCGGTGTTGCCAATCCAAACCCAGCAGGGCCACTTCAACCCCAGCCTGATCCACTGCAGTCCCAGCCTGATCCAGCTGCTGGTTATCCCGGGATTCCTCAGAGTACCTGACCCACCTCACAGCAGGTTCTCCTCCTGGGCAGTGACACCTTCCCACCACGAGCCAGCGCAGGTGGTTATCCCATCACTACCCCCACCCCACAGGGCATTCCCACCACCCCTGACAGTGCAGGGACAAAGCACTGGCTGTTTCCCTCCTTCAGGAATGTGCAGGACCAGCTGGAGACCTTTCCCTCTGCAGACTGACTCCATTCACCCTTTCCTTCAGGAATCTCCATAACCTGTCATGGGGGACTCCACCCACTCCACAGTCTGGGACTCCTGGGAGTCCACGGTCACTCCCAAGGTTCCTGGATGAGTGGGGGGTTTCCTCTCCCAGCTCTTTGTGTGACCATGAAGACCCTCCCCCTGAACCCCCACCCCAGCAGGGGTAACAGGAGCAGCGGGGATTCAGTGCCAACCACCTCCTTCACAAGCCTCCAGGGTGCCTTTTCCAACTAGAACATCATGGATTTGGGATCCTCTGGATCCCTGACTCCAAAAGCTGACCTGGAGTGTCCTGTGCTTTGTGCCAGAGGCCCCAGGAAGGCCCAAGGGGACAGAGTGGAAAATCTCTTGCTTGAATTCCACAAAACTTGCTGAGGGTCCATTGGGAAGGAGAGGGTGGACAACCAGACTGGAACCTGGAATGTGCATCCTCCAAAATCCCACTACGTCCCAAAATCCTTGTGTTTCCTTCTCATCGGTTGGTGGGGATGTCACTGTTATCCTGTTGTCCACTGGGATCTCACCACATCTATCCTGCCATTTCATTCCTAAAAACTGGATCTCCTCTGCAGGCCCCTTTACTTTGTTCTATGGAAACTCCCACTTTTAGTAGGATTTGAATTGTTTTTTCCAATTTCTCAAAACCTTCAGCTCTGCTGCCCCACTCAGTGACGTCACCAACGTCCTGCAGGAATTCCGGAGCCTCTCCCTGTTCCAGCACAGTCTGGATCAACCCATGGGGGAGAGACGGGCCCTTCCCAGCCCTGGGATGGTTCCAGGCTCAGGGGATCAGACCAGTGGAATTCCAGCATCCTGGGACACCAGCGGCTTTGGGAATTGTATTTCCCTTGGGAAAGCTGCTGTGGGGGCAGAGGGGCTGTGTGATCCCCGAGGATGTGGAAAAATGGGAGGAAATTTCCTTTCCAGACCTCAGTCCCATCACTTGGAGCAGCCTGAGATCCTCTGGGTGCCAAAGGCTCTGCAGATCCCGGGATGAGCCACATCCACCCCCCTCCTCCCTCTGGAGCTCAGTTCCAGGGATAGAAAACCAAGGAGGTTCAGTCCCAACAATCTGCATCCTCAAGGGTGAATGACGGACACCTCAGCATCCCAACCGCCCTCCATGCTCCCAGCTCTGCTCTAATTTCAGGACTTTAATTGGAAAAATGTGTCCCGGCCTCGTGATTTCACCCGAAAGGCAAAAATCAAAGAGGAAAAATTGGGATTTTTCCTGGTTATTTGAGTCCTGGAGCACAAAGGTCTCGTGGCCCAGCACCTCCCCCCTCCGTGTCCCGTCCTTCCGACCTGGATTCCAGAGGATCCTCCACGTGTGCTCCCAGCACGTTGAACTGGGACATCCCAAAAAAGCCACCGGGGCCGTGGCGTTGTCACACCCGGGGGTGGCAGGGAGGTGACAGGGTGACATTCCCAGTGCCGGGCTGGGAATGCTGGGAACAGCCTCAAGTGGCACAAGGGGGTGGGTTGTAGGTGGCATTTTGGGAATATTTTGGGAATACTCCCCCTGAAAAGGGTTGTCTGGCCCTGGAGGTTTCACAGTCATGGGGATGTGGTACTTGGGGACACGGTCAGTGGTGGCACTTGGGGACACTGGGTGGTGGTGGCCTCGGGGATCAGCAGACTCAGGGGGTCTCCTGCGGTTTTCCCACCTCAGCAATCCCCTGATTTCGTGGTGTCCCAGTTTCCACAGCACATCCCCATCCTCCTTCCTGGCTCTGTGGGCAGATGGAGTTGGGGGGGGGGTCTGTCCCCATTCCTGTGGGAATGTCACCATCTGTCCCACTGCTCGGTGACATCCAGTGTGGGGGACACTCCCAGTGCTCCCAGTGCGGAGCAGCCTCCAGCTTACTGGGAATGACTGTGGGGCTGGTCTGTATGTACTGGGCTGTACTGGGAGTGGCCCTGGGGCTGCCCTGTATGTACTGGGCTGTACTGGGAGTGGCCCTGGGGCTGCCCTGTATGTACTGGGCTGTACTGGGGGTGGTCCTGGGGCTGCCCTGTATGTACTGGGCTGTACTGGGAGTGGCTGTGGGGCTGCCCTGTATGTACTGGGCTGTACTGGGGGTGGCCCTGGGGCTGCCCTGTATGTACTGGGCTGTACTGGGAGTGGCTGTGGGGCTGCAGGTGCCCCCCCAGGTACGTGGGTGCCCCCCCAGGTGCCCTCGAACCACCCCGAGCCTCATTTGCATTTTTTACTTATTTCTACAATAACCCCCCAGTTTTGGGGGTTTATTTATTGGGGGGGACACTGGGGGGACACGTGGTGGCTCCCACTGTCACAGGACCCTCCATGACCAGGGGTTTTCCATCTGTGTCCCGGCAGGTGCCAGAGGGTGTGGAGGGAGCAGGAATGAACAGAAGGAGAAGAATTAGAATAAGTAGAAGAACTGGAATAATATAAATAGAATTTAATAAAATAGAAAAATAGAAAATAATAAATAAATTGCAATGATCAGAATAAACAGACTTAGAGAAACTCACAACTTTAAACACAGACCCAGGGCAGGGCACTGGTGGGACTGGGAGCACTGGGAAGTGCCCTGGAGGGACATTCCGAGGTCTGGAGGCACTTCAATGCCCAAAGGGAACACGGAAACGCAACCCAGGGGGATTTTCTATGGCCTGAAGATACTTCAGGCTCCAAAGGGACACAGAGAAGCCCCCTGGGTGGTTTCAGGGGGACAATCCCATCCTGTGGTCACTGCTGGTCACCCCCTGGGTCACCCCCAGCCCCAAGGGGGTTCCCATCCCTGAGGGGGTCCCTGTCCCCAAGGGTGCCGCTGTCCCTAAGGAGGTCCCCATCCCTGAGCAGGTCCCCATCCCCGACAGGGTCTCTGTCCCCAAGGGAGGTCCTGTCCTGGCAGGTGTCCCCATCCCCAAGGGTACCCTTGTCCCTGAGGAGGTCCCCATTCCTGAAGGGGTCCCTGTCCCTGAGGGGGTCCTTGTCCCCACAGGCATCCCCATCCCCAAGGGGGTCCTTGTCCCCGTGGCAGTCCCTGTCCCCACGTGTGTCCTGGTCTCCAAAGGGATCCCTGTCCCTGTGGGTGTCCCCATCCCTGAGGGGGCTCCTGTCCCTCTCCCCATGGGGGTCCCTGTTCCCCTCCCTGAGGGGATCCCTCTCCCCCCGAGGGTCCCTGCTCTCCTCCCTGCAGGGATCCCTGTTCCCATCCCCATGGGGGTCCCTGTTCTCATCCCTTTGGGGGTCCCTCTCCCCCCGAGGGTCCCTGCTCTCCTCCCTGCAGGGATCCCTGTTCCCATCCCCATGGGGGTCCCTGTTCTCATCCCTTTGGGGGTCCCTCTCCCCCCGAGGGTCCCTGCTCTCCTCCCTGCAGGGATCCCTGTTCCCATCCCCATGGGGGTCCCTGTTCCCATCCCCGTGGGGGTCCCTGTTCTCATCCCTTTGGGGGTCCCTCTCCCCGTGGAGGTCCCTTTTCCCATCCCCTTGGGGGTCTCTGTTCTCCTCCCTGCAGGAATCCCTGTTCCCATTCCTGTGGGGGTCTCTCTCCCCGTGGAGGTCCCTGTTGTCCCTGCAGGGATCCCTTTTCCCATTCCCATGGGGGTCCCTGTTCTCCTCCCCGCAGGGATCCCTGTTCCCACCCCCGTGGGGGTCCCTGTCCCCCCGGGGGTCCCTGTTCTCCTCCCTGCAGGGATCCCTGTTCCCACCCCCACAGGGGTCTCTGTCCCCCTGGGGGTCCCTGTTCTCCTCCCTGCAGGGGTCCCTGTTCCCACCCCCACAGGGGTCCCTCTCCCTGTGGGGGTCCCCGTTCTCCTCTTTGCAGGGGTCCCTGTTCCCACTCCCACAGGGGTCCCTGTTCTCCTCTTTGCAGGGGTCCCTGTTCCCACCCCCACAGGGGTCCCTGTTCTCCTCCCTGCAGGGATCCCTGTTCCCACCCCCGCAGGGGTCTCTGTCCCCCTGGGGGTCCCTGTTCTCCTCTTTGCAGGGGTCCCCGTTCTCCTCTTTGCAGGGGTCCCTGTTCCCACTCCCACAGGGGTCCCCATTCTCCTCCTTGCAGGGGTCCCTGTTCCCACTCCCACAGGGGTCCCTGTCCCTGTGGGGGTCCCTGTTCTCCTCGGGGCGGGGGTCCCCGCGGGCGGGGGGCCGGCAGCGGCGGCGCAGCCGTCGGTGCGTGCTGAGGTTGGCCTGGGAGGCGAAGGCGCGGCCGCAGCGGGCGCAGGCGAAGGGCCGGTGCCCGGTGTGGGCGCGGCGGTGCAGCCGCAGGTGGCCGCGGCTGCGGAAGGTGCGGCCGCACTCGGGGCAGGGGTGGGCTCGCTCGGGGGGCCGGTGTTCCCGCAGGTGCAGCTCCAGGCTCTCCCTCCAGGCGAAGTCGCGCCCGCAGCGCCCGCACACGAAGGGCCGCTCGTCGGCCGGCCCGCAGCGTCCCTGGGGCCAGCGGGGGCAGGGGGGCAGCCCCCGGTGGCAGCCGCGGTGCCGCAGCAGGTCCCCGCGCAGGCAGAAGGCGCGGCCGCACTCGGAGCAGCCGTGCCGGGCCCGGTTCCCCCCGCGCAGCCTCTTGTGCGTGAGGAGGTTGCGGCGGTGCCGGAAGGCTTTGCCGCAGGTCCCGCACAGGAACGGCGGGCCCGGGGCGGGGGGCTCGGCCCGGGGCGCCCCCAGAGCGGCCCCGCAGCTCAGCCCGAGCCTGTCACGCGGGGGCGGCCTCGGCTCATCCCGGGGAGGGTCCCTGGCGCAGCCCCCCGGGGTGGCGTCACGCCAGCCAGAGCGGGGGGCACCGAACCCTGATTCCCAGTGTCTGCCGTCATCATCCTCGCTGGCAGAACCATCCTGGGCGCCTGTTGAGAAGAGAGTGTCACCACGGGGGGTCCCAGACCCACTGCCGGTCCCTCGCCCACACCCGTGACACCCAGGGGGCTGGAGGGGACTCCCACCCAGTCCAGGCAAGTGTCAGACAGGGGGTCTGGCCCCAGCCAGCCCCTCATGGCACAGTGACACCCCAGGGTGTCCCCACAGGATGTCCCCAGTCACTCACCAGTGCTGGAGACTTCAGAAGCTCCACTGTCCCCCCCAGCACAGGGGACCTCCCTGGGTGACTCCTCCTTCATGTCGATGAACTTGGACTCAGAGTCTGTGCAGGGAAGAGACTCTCAGTGCCCCCCAGAATGCTCGGTGAGTGTCACTGGGGGACTGTCACCACTGTCAGGCCGGGGCTGCACTGGGAGCTGGGGGGGGCTGCAGGGCCAGGGCCCAGCAGATGGGGGGCTGTGGGGCAGCAGGGCAGGGTATCTGGTGCCTTTATTCCTCACACCCAGGATTGCACTCAGGGCCCTCCCTGCACTGAGAGATGGCAGGTCGGGCTCTGCCAGGGGGCTTGGGCTGCAGACCCCTGGCTCAGCCCTCAGATCCTTGGCTGAGCCCCCGGACCCCTGGCTGAGACCCTCACCCCCTGTAGACCCTTACCTCAGCCTCTGACCCCTGTCCGAGCCTCTAGACCCCAGTTCAGCCTCCAGCCATGCCCCCCGGCCAGTGACATTCCCATCTCCATGCCCCCAGCCCGCTGACAACCCCATCTCCATGCCCCCAGCCCTGTGACACCCCAGCCCGGTGCCCCCCAGCCCTGTGACACCCCAGCCCGGTGCCCCCCCGGCCCCTCACCCAGACTGGCCACCAGGTCGTAGTTGTCAGCCATGACCTCCCGGTACAGTGCCCGCTGCCAGGGCAGGAGCTCTGCCCACTCCTCAGGGGAGAAGTAAATGGCCACCTCCTCGAACGACACCTGGGGAGGCACTCCCTGGGGGGACAGCGGGGGCTCAGGGGGGCTGGTGGCACCGACCCCTCGCTGGGCACCCCTTGCATGTCACCCCAAGGCTGCAGCACCCCCCGGGGTCTCATGGGGTTCTGTCCTGGGGCCTCTCCAGCCCCCACAGTCAGCACAGGGGGACTGGGGGGACCGCCAGGGCTGTGGGGAACCCACAGGGAGGAGTGGGGACCCCCGGGGCCCTGGGGCTGTGGTGACCCCCAGGGCTGTGAGGACTCATGAGAAGAGCAGGGACCCCCAAGGCTGGGGAGCTCCCCGGGTCTGTGGGGACCTCCGAAACTGTGGGGAGCCCCCGGAGGAGCAGGGACCTCAGGGGCTGTGGCGACCCTAGAGACGAGTGGGGACCCCTGGGGCTCTGGAGTTCCCTGGGGCTGTGGGGACCCCCGGGAGGAACTGTGGGGACCCCTCGAGTTGTGGGGGCTCCCGGGGCTCTGGGGACCCTCGAGATGCGTGGGGACCCCCGGGTGCCGCCCCCCGGTCTCTGCGTGCCCGCCTTCCCCGCCCCGCTAATCGCGCCCCGCCCCGTCCGGCCCCCAACCCCCTCTGCGGGGACCCCCGGAGCCCCCAGCCCTGGGCCTGCCCCTCCGCCGGGACAGCGGCACCGCCGCACCCCCGGGACCCCCCGCGTCATCCCGGTGCCTCCCCGGGCCCCCCCGCACTCACCCTCGGCATCTCCGGGCGGGGCCCGATGGCGGCGGCGGAAGGGGCCGGGCTGGGGGCGGCACCGGGACACGGGATGGGGTACCGGGAGTGGGGATGGGCTGGGGGC